TAACTCATTAAGAACAGCACTAAGTTTTGTGGACAACTAGACTATCTCAGCATTTTGCTACATGTGCAGTTTGAACCAATGATTACAGTGTGTATGCAGCCTTTGACATTGTGGCCACTCAAATTATCAAGTTGAAGATTTATACAGAGAGAATATTTGGCTGCTGTGCCGCAGCATTGACATTTATCTATGTGCAGTCACTTTGTTAGTTGCCCAACTTGTTATGAGTCGGCAGCGGTCATAAAGACAAAGTGATGTTATATATAATACTTTGTGATATTCATACATCTCGGTGTTGTGCAGGATTGCCTTTGTGTTGGGTAAGTTGCAGTAGAGCACCACATATTTTTGTGTGGATCTTATATGAAGTGTAAACCCACCAGGAATTGCCAGAGAGAAGTTCGGTTTACTGAGCTTCAAGTTTCCACAGAAACAGTATTTATAATCTGTCATTAATGTAATAAATGGTGTATTAACCCTTTGTATTGCGGTTTTTGTCCTGACAGGTAACAGGTATAGTTTGTGAACGTATGAAATAACAGGTCCTGGATCACAGATAATCAACACCTTATTCATGAAGCTGTTTTATCCATGTCCAACACAATGGGAATCTTTCACAACAATCGGTCATACTGAATATCACAAGGGGTAATACCATTTCTTATCACCGCTGCTTACTTGCAGCAACCAGTACAGTGATCATGCATAATGGAAAGGTGTCCTAAAAGCACAGTTACTGTATATTTTTCTCTGTAATTTTAAAAGCATACAGTACAGGTAACCCTCGATTTGCGCCGGTTCAATTTGTGCCGATTCAGAATAACGCCGCTTTTGAAACCAGAAATTCAAGAAGTGAATTTTTTTTTACTATTATTTATAACGTTTTACAATGTTTCTCGTATTGATTCTTATACTAAATCGTAATTATTACTTCGCTGATTTTGAATAAAAATTATAAATACAGTCATCTCTGCAATTACGTATATTTCGTTAACGCGAATTTGCTCTAATGAGATCGATGAATCGGTAAACTAATTTAATCTCTGCGGAGGTACCGGGGTTTTCTATAGGTCGGCGTCTTACATGAATGCAACTATCGCATAACAGCAGAGATGACTGTACACATCAGTCACATGAAAGAATCGCAGTCAATCGCGAGGACCAACGAATTGCCTTTTGTAAGCGTATAAAATATATTTTTTAAATACCCTTTATTTTATTTACGTTATTTCAGAACTTTAAATGTAATGTCGTTATATTATTCGTCGATGTTTGGGTGCCGGGAATGCGTCATTGACTTCCCATTGATTTACATTATAAAAGGAGTTTCAATTTACGCCGGTTCATCCAGGAACGCATCCCCAGCGTAAATCGAGGGTTACCTGTACTTGGATATTCTTTACAATATTTAGCACTCTGTAAAATGCATCACAGTTTTTATCATAACAAATTATGTTGTCAGCATGCTGATAAAATGATTTGGGACTGGGAATGTAGTAGATTGAGTCTTGGGTTATTTGTACGGTGTCAAATGGTAGAATGATTGAATAATAAATGGGAAAGAATGTGGGAGTAAGTGATGATGATATGTTTTAGGCTACAGTGTGTTCACTGTTCTTGGCTGGAACTGCATGATTTACCACCAAGTACTACGATGTGTCAGATTTAAGAATGCGTAGAGTTTTACCTCTCCTACTGTACATATTTATGGTGCATGTTTAGGCATATGAATATATATTTTGTAAACATCCTGCATTAATTTTTCAATTGTGAAAAGTGTAATTTGTGTCAATCATTCTGTTCTCTCTATCTTTACATCTTACTTCATTTGGTAATATATGAGATGGCTGTAACACATTTGAGGGAAACAAAGTTTGGATTAAAATCTTCATATGGGAGACTAGTTGTGTAGATTGGATCTTAAAGGAATAGAGTGTGAAGATTTGAATTGGATTAAGGTGGCTTGGGAGATGCCTTGTGTACATGGGGATATTGATGTTTGATGTACTGAATTTCACACCACTTAACCATTAATTAGTACCTGGTAAGTTTTTTTAGGTTGAAATTTGGTAATGAAATGTTGAGGTATGAATTGCTATATATTTGGAGATTCACAGACGTATCAGATTTATTGAAAGTACAGAATTTTTCACTACAGCAGAAGGAATCTGTTATTGTTCCTGTTTATGAAACACTTATAAAACTTTATGCGTGTTCCTGTAACTTACGCTAATATTTATCCTTAATTTTTCTGTTCATGTTAATTTTGTGTAAAAGGAACTATTGATGACCTGAGGTTTTTGAAACTCTATACTATGGAACCAAGGGGTATAACAGTTATAGGATTTGAGGTTTTTGTGGCAGCCATTTTGAAGATGGTCGTCTTCTGGGTGGTTGTACTGTGTAGTCTGGTAGAAGTTTACTGATGTTTCAGAGGTCCTTGCTGACTTCATCATCAGGGCAATCACCCTGATGATGGAGGCAGAAGACAGCCATCTTCAGTATAACAGTTTGTTGGGAGAGCTTCCAGTTGAGTATAAGTGTCATCCACTGTCAGTATTGTCATTTGTCTAGAAACAGACTGGTGTGCATATTGTTGATTTATATAGCACTGTTAAAGTTTAATATTTTCACTAGTTCTTTTTGTGATTCTTGGTGATGGATGCATCATTGATTTTGTGTAAGAAAACTGTGCTTCATTTTATGATGGAAGTGGATTCAAGCTCTGAGTGAAGGATTGATTGCATGCATGCATGAATGCAGTTGGGTGGTTGGTTAAAAACCCCGGTACTATGACCATTTATGACGTGTTAAGCATCTCCTTTTGTGATTGAATGAAGCCCATGGCACCTATTTCTCCTGGTGTGTACTGCAAGAATTTCTGGTGTTTTCTGTTAAGCCCTTGATAGTTTACTTAGCTGCTTTTACTGAGATGTTGCAGTCTGATTCAGATCCTTTCTTTCCACTTGGTTGGCAATTTCACTTCTCTCAATTCCCCTATGTCCTGGTAACCATATTTCTTGTACACTCTTATGTTAAGCTAATTCCATAAGGGACTGGTGGCAGTCAAAAACAAATTTAGCCTTGATATGGTGTATGTCAAGGGATTTGATTGCATCCTGACTGTGTGATAGAATATACATGTTCCTATTTTTTTAGCCCTTTTTTATATTTTTGATTGTGAATGCCTTAATGTAGTGTATATATATATATATGGCACTTGTGGGTTATCGGGACACATCACTTTAAAAATAGGTTAGGTTAGTTTAGTTGTCATTTATTGAAATAAAATATAATAACTTTCAAGTATACGTCATTTATCCACACACATTAACCTAACCTAACCTATTTTTAAAGTGATGTGTCCCGATAACCCACAAGTACCACATATGTATATATGCCTGGAATACAGTGATGTATATGTAATATGAGTAAACTTTATACCACACATTAGTTAAAGGTTAATGCCATATATTGTGTCTGTTGATGCAATATAGTTCCTGTTTGTAGTTCTTACAGAATGTTTGTAATTTATTTGTCAAGTACCTTAGTTTTCAGTTTGGTTTATTATTTATTTTGTGACAGTTTAAAATACTGAACTGACATAGCATTGTATAGGTTATAGTAAGATAATTATGAATGATGAGGGAGAAAGCAGTTCACAGTTTTGGCATTGGCTTGGTGCTAAGGAAAATTGTATGAACATGTCAGGATATTCAGCCTCTGGCTTGGGTTGGAACCATCCATATCCCAAATGCATAATATTTCAGAGAACTGCTATGTTATGAAAGTTAACCAATCAGAACTTGCTGCAGTCTTATATCTAATTGTACAGATATTTTCCTCATAATATGATTTGCGGTTCTCACAGTGGTGAGTACCAATATTGCTGTCTTCTGGGTTCTAGTGTCATGTAATGTGGTAGAAGCTTTTGTTCTACCAGATTACAGAATGCAACCATCTTCATTTTCCTACATCCACTAATTCTACAGGTTAGTAGAATTGGATGTCCACTTCTGTCAGCTTGTCACTCTGAGCTTTATCTTAAGTGCCTCAGTTTCTGTCTTTGTAAAGACAGTCTACATTCAAGCTCATACATGTTGAAACCAGTGAAAGATGACTTGGGACTGAAGGTCTCAGGAGTCTGTAGCGTACTTCATGGGTATGAAAAGTATCTATGGATATACAGGTCAGTCAATTGAAACAAGATGTAAAGAGCACACCTGGCATCTGCACTTGCATTGTCTGGAAAAATCTGAAATAATGGAGCATAGTGCTGAATGTGGCCATCGGTTTAAGTTCCAGGATACTGAAGTAATAGCCAAAATGTCGGGTTATGTGAATCGACTGGTTAAAGAGCTGATAGCAGGGGACATATCCCAGAAATAATGGGTTTAACAATGACATACAGAAACTGATCAACATGTAGAAGATCACTCTTCACATTGAGAAACAAAGTCAGGGGCTTGAAGTGGGACAAGTGATGACTACTCAGATTGACTCCACCCTTTGATTGACCAATGTGCCAGTCAGTAAGAGGCATGATATTGACAGACTGTTGTGTGTGCGCGTGCCCATACACACACACACACACACAGGGTGTCCCAAAATATGTATACAAATTATAATACAGAGTATTAATTTTCTTATTGATCTCCATGTGTTTACAGAAGATTTGGATGGAGGTCATTTTAAACACCTGTGCCAGATATACTAATACACGTAGTGCCAGTGTTGATGTATGTAATGATTTAGTGTATTAAAATGTCTTTTTTTCATTCATTGAAGGTGTTTATCCATCTCTTGTGGATAGGCTTTGATGCAGCTGGTCACCCAAGTATATTTTTGTACATTTATTTCTTGTCAAAGCTTCAAGACTTACATATTGTCTTATATTGTGATCGAAACCAAACTTGCTTTTGTATAAGTTGTAAATTTTGGAGTAATTTGTTGGTGATGACGAGAGTGTAGTTTTATATGCATATGTGTCTTTGTTCTAGGTTGAATCATTTGTGATAGATCAGGTTGAATTGGACGAAGACGCACGGCTCGAAACGTCCAAGTTCCTTTTGACACCAGAGGATACAGATCATTCAGTAGATCCAGAAACGCAGGCAAGGTTGGAGGCTCTGCTTGAAGCTGCAGGTAATATTTTGTACATTGTTCCTACCTCTGGAAGTCATCACCCCAGTTGATTGGGAAGAAGAGAAGATTTGTTCATATTTTAATATTACGCATTGCTGTAAAAATCTAAGAAGTTATTTTAATTGTTTGTATTTTATTTCTGTTTGTGTGCACATATTCATACAAGCTTTTATTTTTTATCTTCAGAAATTTTATTAAATTTTATAGCACATTTTGTAGATTAACATTCAGTTTCAAGTAGGGATAACTTTTTAGTTTAATGAAAAAGCTCTTTTCTCTCTCCTAAAATGTATTTTTGATTACACCTGCTAAAATTGTATGTCTGTATAGATGTATGTTTGCATTTACAAGGCAGTTTGAACATCTGTTTACAGATGTGAACTACTACCGTCGTGTTTCAGTAAATTTTTTTGTTATAGTAGGTATTTTGAATCTTGTATGTTTAGATTTGTTTGGTTTCGCTTGGATGTGTATTACTGTTTGCTGCTGTATATACTCAGAAATAGTTTGATGTTCTTACTATTCGACACATGTTATCCTCAACTACATTCAGCTATTAAACGTGTCAGTAGAAGATGGCTGATGATTGGCAGCAGTAAAGAAAGATTGTTTTGTATTTTATAGCCTAGGAATGTTTTTCTTTGACACTGTATTAACTTAAAAATTATGTGATGTCAAGGTAAATTACAGGATGATTATGTATGGTTAATCAGAAAGGATTGAAGAGGAAGTCATCCTGGCCTTTTTGATTCCAGAATTTGCCTAGAATGTCTAAGGAAAACTGAGAAATTTCAATCTGGATGTGGGCTTTCTCATCCAGGATTCACACTGTTTATTTACTGAATGCATTTGACACACTACAGAATTCCCAGCACTAGTACATAGGAATGTTGGTTAATAATCTGGCCTTGTGGAGCGTGTTTTGGTGTACAGCACCCTCATAATCAGAGAAAACAGCATTACTGTGGTTTGGTGCACACTTGGCATACTTTTTTCTGTTGCTACTAGGAAGGGGTCTTCACTGTGATGATTGCTGTTAGTTTTAGGGTCATTACACAAGACCCATTTTCTGGCACGTTTTTAATTTTGTTAGAAGCTTTTTCATCTGTTTCTTTGCGTTTGGCAAGTCTGCAGCCACAGCAAGCAGTCTTGTTTCTGCTCCTGTCCCAGCAGCCTTTGGTTGAGATCCACCTCATTTCCAGTATTTAGTTAAAATGGCTTGAAATGACCCACATGAAATTTCTACCTTTTGAGTCATTTCACACCAAATTACACATTTTAGCTGTTATTTAATCAGTTCTACAGGTCAGATTGTTTCAGGAGACTTGTCACTTTTGGACAGACATTCATGCCTATTTAATTATTGTTGCTGAGTCACAGTAACATACTGTTAAACCGTTAAATCCTGTTTTAAAGTTCTGACTGGCATCTGTGCAGTGTGGGGTTTTAAATTCCCTGGTACTGTACAGTAAAGTTAGAATGATGGAACTGATTCCTGTTTCCATTGGTCTCCACAATTGGATAATATCCTGACTTTTCCCTGTGAAGATATATATATATATATATATATATATATATATATATATATATATATATATATATATATATATATATATATATATATATATATATATATATATATATATATATATATATATATATATATATATATATATATATATATATATATATATATATATATATATATATATATATATATATATATATATATATACACACACATATACACATTCTTTATGCAGATAGCATAATGGGGGCAACCACACATTTTACTGGGCATGTGATAAGAACACCTGAATGATCAATTCCCTGATCAATGCATTGGCTGTGGTAACCCAAAAAAGTGACCAACATTGACATTGGGAATGACCTCAAATAAGGGAATTATAACGCAGTCATTGGACACTGTATATTAAACACTTAGTCCTGTGATATTGTGATACAGAGAAATGTTTATAGAAGTATTCTTATTGTGTGGATGAACTATTTTGATTTTAGACAATCTGAAGGCATATTAATTGTGCAGAATCCTCTATCTAAATGGATTGTAGTTCTTTGGATCCATTTATGACATTACTGGGCTTGTACAAATGGAAATATTTTACTTAATCATTCTTTGTTTGGTCTTTGAGATGTGAAGTAACTGGAAAATGGAAATAATCACATAATGAGGTGCTTTACAATGTAGATTTTTAATTTGGTATTGATAGGGAGATTTTATCCAGGATGTTGATGCATATACAACGTTTGGTTTGAAAACTTTGCAGGAAGAAACCGCATAGACGTAGATATTATTAAGTGGGTATTTAAAACATGTGTTATGCAAATGTGGGTTACATTGCACTGTCTTATTACAAGGTCCATTGATGGTTTTTCTTATTGTTTGGTGAACCTTCAGTTTCCATTACAAGGCATTCCCAAGGAAGATTTATGTGATGGTGTTTGTTTTGCATTATATGAATTATTAATGGTTACAGCCAACAATCAGGTTAAAGCGTGTATATGTACAGTGCTTACTCACCCAGAGTATCAAAGCATTTTGTATTTTCTTTTATTTAGGTATTGGGAAGTTGTCTACAGGGGATGGAAAACATCTAGCAGATCCTGAAGTTCTTCGACGCTTGACCTCGAGTGTTTCCTGTGCATTGGATGAAGCTGCAGCAGCTCTTACTCGTATGAGAAGTGAGAATCCACGTCCACAAACGGAAACAAGGTAGGCCGTGATCAAAATTTAATGTTGTTGGATTAGAAGGTTTTCAGATGTTGTTTTATAATCACTTGGCTTTTGTTGCCATTTTAATTAAATACAGATCCTGTATTTGCAAGAATAATATTTCCCCGACAGATCTTTAGTGGAAGCGTGTTCAGACGGTGATGTCGGGACAGTGAGAAAGCTGCTGACAGAGGGTCGCAGTGTACACGAAACAACTGAGGAAGGGGAAAGTTTGCTGTCCTTAGCCTGTTCTGCAGGCTATTACGAATTAGCTCAAGTAAGCAGTTCATTTCCTTTATGCTTTGTAATAATAGCAGACTCTGTTTCATTTGATTGTGAAATGTCAAGCAGGAAACAGGTTTGCATTCCTCCACTATTGATTTTAAGTGTGTTAACTGCACACTAATTATAATACTAACCATAATTGAATGATGACCGAATATTATCCAAGAAGGAACATGTCAGGGAACTTTCCTGCATATCAATACTTTCTGTACATAATTTTCTTTTACTTCTGTTGGTTTTCTATTTAATTTTGTGTCATATTCTTCCTGTTCAGTCAAACATCTCCAAAAATTATTGTCTTAATTATTGAGGAGTGAAGGTTATGTGAGAAAGGAATGTAATTTGAATTTGTCTGTGCACTTGATGAGGTTAGTTGATCCTAGTACAAAAATTGGTAAGGTAGCAGGTGAGATTTATTTCAGGTGTTGCTTGCAATGCATGCCAATGTGGAGGATCGTGGCATCAAGGGAGACTGCACTCCCTTGATGGAGGCTGCATCAGCTGGTCATGTGGACATTGTTCGCCTTCTCATCGCCCATGGAGCTGATGTCAATGCACAGTCTTCATCAGGTGAGTTATAATTCTTGATGTTAGTCTTCTTTTATAGGGAAAGTGGCAGAAGTTTGGAATTAAAAAAGAAGTATAATGGAACTAGAGAAAACTGCATAGTGAGGAGTTTGACTTTTCATGTAATCTTGTTTGGGTGATTACATGATGGAAAATGAGATGTGTAGAATATAGAGCATGTGTGGAGAACAGAAGAATGCATACAAAATTTTGGTTGATGAACAAAAGGGAAGAGACCTTTTGGGAGACTTGGTTGTAGGTGGGATGACAATATTTAAAATTTGTCTTCATAGTGTGAAGGTGTGCATAGGATTGGGTGGGGCTCGAAGTAAGATCTAAAGGTGGGCTTTGGTGAACACAGTGGTGAATATTTAGGCTCCATAAATGCAGGTTGTTACTTGGTCAGCTGAGCAACTGTCATTTTTGAGCAGTTGTGTCACAGCAATCTATGCTTCTTCATTGAATGCCAGTTGTATGTTTGATGTTTTGGGGTGTAAGTGCAACATCAATGCAGAAAACAGTGGTTTGCTCTACATAAAGTGTTCTGATATGTTTAATAGACTTCTTGTCTTCAAAGCACTTATGATAATAAATATTCTGATTGAGCTGCAAACCAAAACTAAAAGCTTTTGTCATAATGTTACGTATTATGGGGCAGTTTTTGTACGGTACACAAGAGTGACAGTGACAGTGACGTTTTGTAACTGGGATTATTGAGAAGATTGTTTACTGCATGTTTTTCAGATTGTAGGAGTAACGCTAGAACACTGGATTCTCATGGTAGGCTTATGTCCATGTATCATGTTTTGTGGTGTGTCAGGAAAGCTTGGTTTTGTACAGGCTTATTGTAGCAAAGGAGGTAAGCTTGTGCTTTACATGTTTCAATTCTGACTACTTGTGGTACAGATTATCACAGAAACAAAGCGGTAGTACAAGAACAGCTCATTTGATCATTCAATATGTTCTGGCATCTCAGTAACAGCAATCAGGCTCCTGTAATCCTACACTAGTACAACTTTTTCTTTCTATCACAGATATTGAAAAATGATATGACACCAAGGAAGTAGTATTTTGTTGAGGAGAAACGAATATTAAAGCAATTGAAAGCGTTTTCAAAAAGCTGACACTTTTTTAATGGGGTCACAGTGAAAAGGTATTCATAATATAAGGTCCTGAATCAGAATTCAACTTGATGTTATATGCAGACAGAATCATTACTGAGATTTGTTATTGGAGTGGAAATTTGATTTATTTTTATTCCTGTACATAATGAATCTGCCAGTAGAGAAATGTATGTGTTGATCCCAGTGTGGAATTTTAGGTTTCTATGGAACAGTTTTAGAATAGCGCAGTGCATTTTGTAGTATTTTTAGGTTTACTTAGAATTATTATTTTTGGTTTTCATCTTAAATTTGGATGTTCTCTCTGTTGAATAACTAAGGGCTATAAAAGAATGGCACTTAAATGATTCATTTATGTTACTAGGCAACACACCCCTAATGTATGCATGTGCTGGTGGTCACGAGGAAGTGGTTTGTACTTTGCTTGTTGCTGGAGCCAATGTTGAAGACCACAATGAGAATGGACACACACCTCTCATGGAAGCTGCCAGTGCAGGCCATGTTGGTGTTGCAAAGGTAATTACATCTGCACCTGTAACGCCTGTTTTATGATTGTATCACTTGTTGGAAAGGGTGAGAGAATGTACTTTTAAGGGCAAGATTTATATTTCTGCTGATAGTATTGTATAAATGAATGAAGGCTTCTGATTCAAAGAATGCATGGTTTAATACGAGTTCTGAAAGATGGTGGTTGTTTGTTATTTTGCTCATTCACAAAGTCTTGACTTTGCCAGAAGTGCAAATAGTGAGTTAATAAAATAAGTTCAGCACTGGTTTTAGCCCACCCGAGAAATCTTAGAGTCATGTGATAGAAATGTATGACCATGCCCTTTGATCATCAGGTCGCCATATTCCTGCAGTTTAGTGCACTTATATGTTAAAGGAGACTGTGTGGCATATTTTGCATGTATGCACATTATGAAGACTAGCAATGAAAGGATTATGTCTTTGGTGAATGTGTGGCTGAAACTTCTGTAAAAGTTCTTGTTACAGATCCTGTTAGAACATGGAGCTGGAATCAACACCCATTCAAATGAGTTCAAGGAATCTGCTCTTACGTTGGCATGCTATAAGGGGCATTTAGACATGGTGCGCTTTCTTCTGGAAGCCGGAGCAGATCAGGTATTGTCAGAATACATGTAAAAGGTTTTTGTTAACAACAAACAGCAATTTCAAACATTTGTTGTTGGTGTTTGGTTTTCTGGGTTGTAACACTGTGGACTTGCAGATAGATTCCTGCAAGTCTACAGTATTACACGTTATGGTGTCTTCGCAGCCGTGAGTACTTGAATTTTTTTTTTGTTCTATACTTTACCTAACTTAGTGGTAAACAAAATGCAGCTCATGTGTACATTGTGAACTTTTTATGCAGGCTATCACATTATTTGGGAATTAGACATTGTGATAGGGGCAGAAATTTATTTTGCTGAGGAACGATATATACATGTTGGAAGGGCATTCAGAAAGTGAGGGTAATAATATTGGAGTGTTTTAGTTGTATGGTTGGTAGCACTTCCAGTGCCTGGTCATGCTGCAAGTGTGGTTAACTGGTCTGTTTTTGCAGAGTGAGCATGGCATAAAGATGACTGCTTCACTAGAGGTTAGCAGCAAGAATAAGCAACAAGCAGTCGTGCACTTTTTGGTGTCTGCAGGAATGGAAGGGGCAGCAGCCAAACCAGTATTGTAGAAGCATTCAAATAAAGATATTTATCCACAGCCACAAGCGAATCAAACGTGGGGTGTAGTTGAGCAATGATTCTTGGGAACTGTAGGGTAACTAGTATGGAAATACCTGCAAGACTGGGTTTTAATGCTGCTCATCCTTGATGCAAACCTCTAGTGTTGTAGCCATCCTTACACTGTACTCGCTTTGGCATAAATGGACTACAATTGAACCATGCTCGCAGCATGTCACAATCTGACCTTGAGCTGCAGTACGAACAGACCTCAGCAGTGTTGCCAGTTATTGTAAAAAAATATTCCAGTATTGTCCCTACATTCTAAATTCTCCTAGTACATTACGTAAGCATAATGGCATGTATTCACAAGAAAATATATTAATAGAACAACTGAAATGTTGGATCTTTCATGTTAAATTGAGTTATTGTGCAGAAGTACATTTTTTTTGTTCTGCCGTAGGAACATAAAACTGACGAGATGCACACAGCACTGATGGAAGCATCAATGGATGGCCATGTAGAAGTTGCAAGATTATTGTTGGATTCTGGAGCTCAGGTATGTTACAGTACAGATTTCTGACTTGCATATGAGCAAGTATATTATCTGTCTTCATTCTTCTTTTGTGTGTGAATATTATTGTGTAATTATGCACGCTTTTTATAAAATTTTAGTTGATTTACATTTAGATTTATGAAATTTATCCACCATGATACATTTCACTGTGTGTGACCTATGCTTAAAAGTTAGAACTTTTCTTAAAAAATTGATAATCGGGAACAAAGGAATGGATTGCGTATGAAGTGTGTAGATTCATTTTTTCTTTATTTTACAGTGAACAGTGAAACTGTGTGAGTTGTGTGTTGAAATATGTGATTGAAGTAGTAGCAGTGTCCATACCTTATTTTTTTGCGTTAGTTCATTCCTTATAGCCGTCTTATATAAAGGGACGGTAGTTCATGAGATAGTGATGTATCGTGTGTAATAGTTTACAATAATTTCTGTGCAAATAGGTTAATATGCCAACCGATAGCTTTGAATCTCCTTTAACACTGGCTGCATGTGGAGGGCACGTTGACCTGGCAATGCTGCTCATAGAGAGAGGTGCCAACATTGAAGAAGTGAATGATGAAGGCTACACACCACTAATGGAAGCTGCTAGAGAAGGTCATGAAGAAATGGTTGCTCTCTTGCTTAGTCAAGGTAATTTGCTTTATGTATCTTTTCTTTCACCTTTTGTTATTGAATTGTACTGTGATGATCAATCCCTTTATATTATATTTGGTAAATTCTGGTTTTGAAACTTAGTCTGGAGAGAATTTACTGTGGTATTGTGTTGCAGGTGCTAACATCAATGCACAGACAGAAGAAACTCAAGAAACAGCCCTTACCTTGGCCTGTTGTGGCGGATTTACTGACGTGGCTGACTTTTTAATCAAAGCAGGAGCAGACATTGAATTAGGTGCATCTACACCCCTCATGGAGGCTGCTCAGGAAGGGCACCTGGAACTTGTCAAGTGTGTATTCATATTGTTATTCAAACTGAATAAGCCAAATATCACTGTTGTTACAAATCTGCCAGTAGTCATAGTTACATATGCTGCTCTTGGATGTAAGGAGAAACTTTTATGGTAAACCACAGTTTAAAGGTCAGTCAGTCAGTCAGTCCCTTAGCTAGATGTGTTTCTGCTTGATAGCTCTTACTCATTTTTGACCTCAACACTAGATGGGGGTGAGTGGTCAGCATCATGCCTCGGCCTTGTTGTACCTCCTGAAAAGGACCCTAGTACCCATTGGATAGGAGACTGGGTGGGCACTAGAACCAGTTTGGATGCAGAGGCTAGAGGAATAATTATCTGCCCTGTCGGGGATCGAACCCTGGTTGTCCATTACATAGCCAGTCACTGTATTAACTGAGCTATGCCGGCTCATAAATACATGCATACTAAGTAATTAAAATTAAACATACATGTACAAGGTGAGACAAGTTCCCAGAATGCTCGCATATATGTGTTTTATTGAGTAGTGAGTGAGCAATAACTAAACAGCAGTGTGTTATGACGTCTTGCGTGTTGGTGAAGCAAATAAAGCAGTAGTAGCAAAGAAGTGTCAGAGTTACGAAAGTGTGTTTTCATCGTGGTAGAAAAATGAGTGATGGGTTGTTGGAGCAATGCATTAACATAAAATTTTGTGCAAAGTTAGGATGAAGTACAAGTGACATTCTGGAGGTGTTGACAGAGGCTAATGGTGCTGATGCTATGAAAAAGTCCAATGTCTTTGGCATAAAAGAGGTTCGGGATGAAAGAACTGGATGCCTGAAAACTTAACGGACAGATGAAAATGTGGAAAAATATTTAATTGAACAAGATCAAATAGTGAACCAGCATCATTATGTGGAAATATTGGCAAGGTTATGAGGATGTTTATTGGAGAATGCCTAAACTTTGACCTGATGCTTGGATCTTATATCATGTAAATGCGCCTACTCATGACATTCGGTGTCCGGGAGTTTTTGGCCCAAAAAAATTGATATTGAAATATGACCATCCATATTCGTCACATTTGGCCCTGTGCCACTTTTGGCTATTCAAAAAACTGAAGACCGATTTTAAGGCCCCCAGATTTTCAGACATTCAGGGACGTAATTATGATCCTGAAGAGCTTTCCAGAAGAGGAGTTCCAGAAATGTTTTGAGCACTGGAAACACTGACACAAAGTGTTTTGGTGCTCAAGGAGACTACTTCGAAGGTGGCAGCAGCCATTATTATGTAAGTAATTAAATACAGCTTCTACAGGGGCATTCTGGGAACTTAAATATCACACCTCATACACGAATGTTGTGTTAAACACTCTTTGATTTATATACAAATATAAATGTATTCCAGTAAAGGGTTAGAAAGTGAGAGATGTCTCTTGGATGCAAAACATGTTCATACTTTACGTATTACTCATTGCTGAAGTTTTGTTAAGTCTTTCAACTGTTTGGCTTACACTGATTTGAGTGGAGATTTGAAAGTATTGTTTTATGTTTGTATTTAGGTATTTGCTTGAAGCTTCTGCAGATGTCCATGCCCAGACCCAAACTGGAGACACAGCTCTGACTTACGCTTGTGAGAATGGTCATACAGATGTGGCAGACCTCCTGCTGCAGTATGGAGCTGACTTGGTAATATATTTCGCATTTAATTCCAGAATGGATGAATCTTACCTGTAGCCATATAGCACTTTAAAATTTGTTGTTACCTGCAGTGATATCACACTACTTGCTTTAAAGATTCAGCTTTCTGAAAAAGTTCTTGTGTTTATTTGGACTACCAACTGAAATCAATTAATATACTACAGTGAAATGTCAAAGTGTTGATTGTTATAGGATATACATTGTGTGACTGAAGATGTAATGATCATTAAATACCACAGTATCATTTATCTGTACATCCTGAAGATGTCTTACATTGGTATTGAATGTTAACAGGAGCATGAATCAGAAGGAGGTCGCACTCCGTTAATGAAAGCCTGTCGAGCCGGTCACCTGTGCACAGTACAGTTTCTGATTTCTAAGCGAGCAGATGTCAACAGGCAAACAACCAATAATGACCACACTCCACTTTCCTTGGCATGTGCTGGCGGTCACTTAGCTGTGGTGGAACTTCTGTTAGCCCAGTCAGCTGATCCTTTCCACAAGCTAAAGGTAAGTGAGGCTTTTGACAGCTGAATATTTCAAAATATATATTCATATATACTGCATACAGTCAGTTTACTGCTTG